GATATCATCTTGGATCTTGTATAGGTTGTTGTATGGTGCGTGTATACAGGACTCTTGCTTATGCCAAGGGAGGCAGCATCGCTTGCTCTCATGGCGAGGAGCACTTTGCGTCTTGTAAACATTTCCTCCCGTCTGGAACTTGATACCGTCCGGGAATTCCCATCTCTGGCGTCTCTTTGTGAGAACTGGAACTAAACCAATGCATAGCGTCCCATATCTTCTTCACATACCAAACCCTATATCCACTGATCCACTTGTCACACGAACTGGCCCTTCCATTTGGCCAATCATATGCCATTCCGGAAGGGACCCACAATTTTAAGAATCACATCGTGTCAATTACCACTCAAGACTCGTCGCATTTGGAAGCTCCTAAGTGACGCGTTCATCAAGTACTATTGTTCCAAGTACAACCAGGTTGCGAAGGCTAGATACTACTCTGCGAAACGTGGGGACAAGGAGCATGTGTGTGAATAACTTAACCGGCTTAATTATTATACACGCAATGTAGGAGTGCGGTTTGAGAACGGAGGACGTGAATTCAAGGACCTCGTGGAACACGTTCTCGTCACGTGTGATGACAGACGTCTCGAAGAGCGTTTATGTCACGTGCGAGTGAAGGATATTCATGACCTTGAAGATATGTTCAACGCCATTCTGAAACGCCGAGTGTGGAAACCCAAACGCGACTCCTCGGTGAGCCGCTCCAGTCGTCGCCGACGTGATAGTAGTCAGAACGAGGACCCAAGGAGGAGTTACCGCCGATACAGTCACTACGGAGACGACCGCCGCACGGAGTCGCCGTATCGATCGAGGATTACACTCGCGGATGCATTAACTTATCTGGTAACTGCATTGAATAAGATCTCGGGCACACCACAGACGAGTCAATTAGAGTCGTACGAGCACAGGTATGGGACGAACGAGGACTCGTTCGGCGATGGAGAACGCCGAGACAATGACGACCGATACTCCAATGGTGGCTCAGGGTATGATGATGCAGTGGAAGAAGAACGAGACCCGGTCGCAGCAGCAAACAACCTCGGACACCATGCAGCTGCGGAAGGGATGTCCGCCCGGTCTGACAACCGTCGTACCCAAGGTGACGGTAGCTTCAACAACGACAAGAGTTACGCACACGAGAACCGTAATGGCAGACAACAGTATGGATCATGTGCAGCGTGCGGAGTATTGGCTCTCTCCGTACGCTACTGCTACAAGTAGGTGCAAACAAGTACACGATGATGGAAAGTACAAAGATTTCACGGAACTCACAAGTCTCCTTCGGGTGAAAGTCGACAAGAAGGACTTGACACTGATGCTGCAAAGGGTGGTATACGAAGCCATTTATATTAGATAACCCGCCAACTGAAACCGGGTTGGTTCCTATCGGGCCGCCACAGCTAACTAAATCTGCAATAGATGTAGACTATTTGTTTGTCTTTGTAGGGAAGTGAAATAACCCGGAGACCGTGAAACAGGATTTGTGAACACGACGGAAATTGTAGAAGAAAATGACATATGCCTCGGTCAGGACGCGGTGGATGATTTGGATGGAGAAGAACCTGATGTGTACCTGGCAGAGGCTTTAGCTTCAGGTTGGGGGTCAAACTTTCCCGAACCTCGTTCGAACGGCGAAACGGCTGCCAGGCGAGAGATCAGGGCGGTGGTCATCCCAACGATACGACAAACGGAAGAGGATAGTCATGGGTGCGGTGGATCACACTCGAACGAGGATTCTGGGGCCAATGTCAGCTTGATTTCGGCGATGGATGCTAAACGGCTAGGAACAGGACCATGACCGAAGTTTGGAGATGCGCAGAATTAACCCCGGTGTGCTAGGGACTCGAAGATGAGCACTAATTAAGATCACCCTTGGATAGGAACGAGTGTACGAAATCGAAATGTGGATAATGGACCACAGCGTGGGTGTCGACGTTGTGCTTGAAACCAATTTCAGGATACTCGCAGGTATGCGATTAGACCTGTTCCATGGTATTGCAAGGTTGCCTGACAAGGTCGTGGTACCATTAGTGAAGTCGGCTGGTGCTGCAAATGAAGAACCGTATGGAGTACAAACTATTAGTGGACCGACAGAGGTCTTGTATGTCCGTCATAGTGAACGGCGAGAGTTTCGATTACCTCGAAAACAACCATCACGTGCGCCACATGAGTTGGGGATCCGAAGGACCAGACAAATGGTACCGACTATGAGGGAATCCCGTAGAGGCCTACCCGTGTGGGTCCGTGGGAAGAACGGGTCAGATGGAACGACTCGGTGCTACAAACATTCCTTTGTTGAATTATGAGTACCGAGAGGAGACATTTCACGTGAGGTGGGGTATGTCAGGCTCAACACGAGCAAGTACAATGCATGGCAAGTGCTCACGTACGCAGAACGTCGAGATAAGACCCTACTGCGGAAGGAGAAGGAATTCTATAAGTGCTGGTTGGTAGGACAACCACCAGAATTTGAGCACCGGGAGTATCGGAAGCCTGGACTGATTCTAGATAGGCCAACCGAGGACTCGGTTGCGCCAAAAAGCCTATTTTGGACCACCTAAGGTAGGTTGACGAGGGGACGGAGAAACTCTATCGACGAAATCCAGTGAGGACGCCAAAGCCTTTGTCACTGCGGCATTTGACTAGGCCATTGGTGAGACTGGCAAGAGACCAACAGATTTCTCGGACGCTGAGGATGAAAACATAAACCCGGCCGGAGGTCTCGGTCAACATGCTGGGAACCGCATACATCTCCGTGATGCAGGAGATTGAAGGGGAAATAGCTTCCGGTAACAGGGGTGACGACGAAGATTTGTACGAACATATACAGAATGAGATGGAACTCGCTGACTACGCTAACGAGTTAGCGTTTCTGCTTGATCTGACAGAGCCCTTGTCGACAGCACTGGACATACGGGATCGAACGTTACGACCGAGAGTTTAAGTGGAGAGGAGCAGCGAAAAGTCGTCAATGTGTTGAAGCGTCACGAAGGGATTATGATTGCAAGTGGTAATGCACTACCGCCTCCCGCATACGGTGTTGTTTGCGACCTCGACATACACCCATTAAACATAGAGCACGGCAAACACCTCTCCGAGTGTTGGAGAAGTTGTACGAATTGTTGAAAGAACTATTGTGAGGAAGGTTGATCACGTTTTGAGACAGCCCATGGACATCACGCATTGGAATAGTGCTGAAAAAGAATGGGGTTGAAATCCGGCTGTGTATCGACTACAAACGAGTGAACGCTGTTATGGCTATTATGAAATATGCGATCTCGTTTGTTGACGATTTGTTGACTGATATAGAAGCCTACCTATGGTTTTGCTCGCTGATACAGCAAGTGGTTTCTGAGTGATGATGACTGAGAGAGCTAGCAAAATCTCAGCCTTTGTATGTGCGTTGAAACGTTTCAAGTAGATCCGAATGGCGTTCGGTCTTACGAACGCGCCCATGATTTACCAACGAATGATGGATAACGCTCTATGGTGGTTCGTTCAGCCCAACGGCGGTTGGAAAAGCGTATTCGGAGCGAGGCGGAGGCCTCGTTCTAAGTTTGAGGTCGACTGAGAGGCTGCGTCCATCTTGGACCCTGTCTCAGAATTAGTCAATGGTCTGATGGGCGATATGTTTTCGAATGGCGAACCAGACGAGTTCTCGTTGGTACCATTATTTGACTGGAGATAGTTTGTGGATGACATTTGTTTTGGAAGCGAGACGTTCGATGGTTATTTGTCAACACTAGTAGCCCGATTGATCCAAATGTTCACTGAGTGTTAATTTAACGGGGTTACACGAAACTCTAACCGTAACGCTAATCAGTTAGAGTTAGAGGTTTCCCGTCTTGGTGTGAACACACCAAGACCGCAATTGAAGGGATCCTATTGGTAGAGTGCGCCACACCTTTACCAATCAGCGATTCGAATCACTGTCAGCCACCCGCTGACAGTCCCTTAGATATTTGATAAACAGTTTAGCAAGGAAACGCTTTAAGCGAACAATACAGTTCTCATTTTACGCTATCTAGCTCCTATCTTGTCTTACCGTACACACGATGGGTGGTTACGCAATACAAGCTAGGAACACCTACGCTTCCTCACTTCCTCCTACACGTGCGCACACGCGTAAGCTAACTAGTGAGCCCAAGGCCCACTACACCTGGTAGCACTTTGTAGTCCGTCCAACGACCGACTTCCTTGTTCGTATGTGTTACGAACACAGGCAAGAGAATCTTCCGATGGATGGGTCGTCCGTCGGAAGCCCGAGCACGTCTGTTACGCATGTGGCGCGTACAGATTGCCCCACCTGGTGGTTTCAGAGTGGGAGGCGCTCCAACGACTGTCAACAGTCATTAGAGAGGTGGCCGTAGCGACAATGCTGCGCAGGCTATCGCCGACAGAGCAACATGGTGTTGCTCTGGGATTCATCATGAGAGAGCAACGCGAGGTTGCTGCCGCGAAGCCAGTGTCTCCGGGGGAGACACCGCGGAAGGAATATCTGAAGTTACGTGCTATATGGGCAGAAAAGGCGAGACTCTTCTCCGCTGGCTTGTCGAACTTGACACTGCCGTAATGGCTCGCCGTCTCGTCGACCCATTGGCGAACGTCGCCTTCGCCATGGCTTGGCTTATCGGACGCGCGAGGGGTTGGGTCTACGGGCACCGCCTCACTGATCCTACGTGCTTCAGCACGTACGAGCCCTTCAAGGAGGAGCTCAAACTCTCGTTTGAGCCCCCACAGAACGAGTTCCGGTCGAGAGCGGAGTTTCTAGACCTGCAACAGGGTAAGCATGATGTAGATGCTTACGCCCAACGGGCTCGGTTGAGAGATGGGCCTGTGAAGACCTATGTCTTCCGAGAGTACCCGAGTACTCTCGAAGCTCCGATTACCATCGCAATGCAAGAGGGGTTTAGCCTGAGATAGGCTAAACTGCACACGAGCGTGCCACGCCCGCCTCGGCCGGCTGCTAAGACGGAAGGTCCTTAACCAATGGACCTTTCGTATACATCTGCTGTCGGACAGCAAAAGAACAAGGGAAGCAACGTGCGATGCTTCCGGTGCGGAATCATGGGTCACTACCCACGTGAGTGTACGGCACCAGTACACTCAAGCCAAGGTCGACGTAGCGATACTGGGTATCGTCACAGTCGAACAAAAAACGGAAGGGACCAATAGGCGCGGGGCGCCCTACTGGTAATACAGTCTACGCGTGTCAACAACGGACACGCGGTATGGAGACTGCAGCCCCAGTGAGAGGGATCTCACTGCAAGGTGCAAGATGACAAGTCAATCCTTGTCATCTTGAAGATGACGTCGATGACAAAGAGAGCGGACTCTCTTCGAGTGTTGGCAGACTCGGACGTGTCGAACAACTTGTTCGACAGCAACGTCTGCCGTTGTTGGACTTCAAGAAGAAGCATGTGCCTTGAAGTCAGTTAGAAGTACGATTGGCAACGGGTGCCATCGTGAAGATCGAAAAGCGCGTAATTCACGCACACTTCTCGTACAAACACCGGGTGTTTGTGGAAGAACTTACTGGACTTGGACGACAAGTTCGACATGGTGTTGGGCATGCCGTGGCTTGCACGGCATGATCCTACAATCGACTGGGAGAAGCGGACGGTCGTGTGCTTTGGACGCCGCGGCGCAACAGAGAGCGATGGCCCTGTTAGCGCAGCGGATATACCTATCGGTGCATCCAAACCTCCTTCAGAGACAGTGGTTCGCGTCGCTGTCTCCAGTCTCAGCGCGAGGAACGCGCGAGCTGTAACGACTCCAGGAGCCGTTAACAGAAAAGGAGTGTCTGGTCAGGGACCAAAGACAACGAAGAAATTCTCCGCCGTAAGGCGTCGAGGTGACAACAGTGTGTCGACTCCGGGAGTTGACACGCGCTCGTTATTAGAATCGAGAAAGTTCTCCGCCGTGAGGCGTTGGGGTGAGAACGATGTATCAACTCTGGAAGTTGCGACAGACTACTCCGCCGTAAGGCGTAGAGGTGTCGACAATGCATCGACTCGATGCGACAAGCTGTGTAGACGGTTGCAAACGTCCAGCACTAAAGCTTGCGTGCTGTCGTGCAGTCGGTCTGCACGAAGCAGGGCGCGATCAAGCCGGGCTTGATGACGCGTGCCCGCGGGTACAAGAACCCGCCGGCGGTCGCCCGCAGACTGGAATGTCTGCCGGCGGTCGCCCGCAGACTGGAATGTCTGCCGGCGGTATCAAGGAACATTCGTCCATGGCCGGGCCTGGACGAAACGCAAGTGAATCCGGGATTCACAAAAAGAAAAGACGGCGCAAGCACAAGACGCTGCGCAAGTCTCGGTCCGGGACCGAGGCTCTTCAAGGCATGTCTGCCGGGCAGTCACAAATGCCGACAGTGGCCGTCGATACGTTGAACGTCTTGACGCGGGCCAGTACTGGGTATCAGTACCAGAAGATGGAGTTGGAGAACCAAGAAGATGGAGTTGGAGAACCCTCCGACTGATACGTCGGAGTTGACCTCGCTTCCAGCTGGAAGCGCTTTGCAAAGGACTTGTACGATGGATGCATCGAACAGCTATGCATTCTTCCGGACTGCGAAAGAATGACAAGCGATGCAGAGGAGTTGAGACAACTCTTCACTGAAAGCCCCCACTGAGAGTGATGATCCTCTCAGTGGCAAGACGAAGCAGGAACGCTTCGACGAGCAGAGTTGCAAGGTTCTGCGAGAGAACATGGATGTGCTCTCGTACGAGACTCCCGCGGAAGAATTATCCCAGCGCTACAGTGGCTACTGTCGCGGGATCAAGCAAGGTGCGCGAAGCATTGCTTGTGTTCGGTGCGCGACTTCGCACCGAACTGCTTCTATATGATTTTCGTTCACAGCCGGGGCAGTGGACGGGAAGAAGAAACGCGCACTGAAATGGACCCCTGCGTGGTCGCCGTCGTTAGATGCGGCCAATCTGGGCTTGGCTGCTGCGCAGATCTCGGTAGTGGTTGTCCAAGATCGTCCCTTTTCCCGTACACATCCGATTTCACGATCGGATGCGCGTTGATGATCCAGTGCATGACAAGGAAACCCTTGTCATGAGCATACACTCCCGAAGTGCCGAGTGTGATCACTCGGCAACACGTCGTTCGTGGTCTATACCGACCAGGCGACGTTGTCGGCAACGATGACGTCGCCGCATATCTCATCGTTCGGGCAAGATGGTTGTCTCCCCCTGGTGTACGACTTCCGGGTCCACAAACCCCAGAAGGTTGAATGTCGTCGCACACGTGTTGTCGCGACGACCGAAAATTTTGCCACGGCGAAGGCTGCGTTTGCGCTTGACGCAGACGCAAGAAACTGATCGAGTTTCTCTCAGCTCTTTCCGACATGATACGTCGGAAGTTGACCTCTCACTTACGAGTAAGTGCACAATAGTACCGTGTGCACGTCTACTTTACGATGTATGGAAGACGGTTGTCTTCTTTTTTAAGTGGGGGAGGGGCGCTACGGTTGATGTCGATCAACCGCAGAAGACAACTGATACGGACATATCAGTTGTAAGGACATGTGCGAAAGCGAGAGCCCACACAAGGCAGCCCGATGCCTCCGAAGAAGTGTCAGTGCCCAGCACTGACACAGTGAAGTTACGTACGAGAGCGAGAACCCGCACAAGACTGCGCCACGCTGTGACCCAAGTTGACGTGTCAGTGCTCGGCACTGACACTGTGAAGAACTACGATCAGGAGGAACCTGCTATGACCAATGGCAACGGGTCTGTGCCGGGCACAGATGTGGTAAAGTGCGATCGAAATCTCGCGAGAAAAGCAACCTCGGCTGCCAGATCGCGAGAAAGAGACGGACCAGGCGACAGCAATCCCACTCTGTGCCAAGACATCAAGACGATTTCCCAAGATCAGGCGTGCGACAAGACCAGTGAGTGACGGGGACTGCGGATGACCCAAGATCGCCTGAAGATGACCCAAGATCAACCCGACAGGATGATGGGTGGCGATCCACCCTCATTATATCGCGTGAAGGCCAGATCAAGGCGACTTATGGAACGAAGCCATCGTCGAGAGTCGATCCCGGACGGCGGCGAACCGGCGGACCAAGATCGAGGGAAATCGCTACGCCTGGAGTCCCATCAGTCGACGATCAAGACATATGAAGGCTACGCGACCAGGATCACACGGTGATCCTGAACCCTGGGGAGGAGGCGAGATAGGATCGCCGGGATGCAGCCAGCGTACGCTCCAAGGCGAGTAGCCGGGGTCCCCCTCGACGACCGCGAGCGACGGTTTAAGAATCCAAGTCAACGCACCTGATGACGAACGCAGGGCGCCGTCCCAGATCAAGGTAGATCGGGGCGAGATCGGGACGGCCGATCTAGGACCGTTCAAGGATCATCCAAGGACCGATCGAGGTTTGATCAAGATATCCGATCGTGATCGTCGATCGCCGATCCCAAGATAAGGTAGGTATCCTGATTACGGGCAATCGTAGGAAAGCAGCTGAGGATGGGTTAGGAAACA